CTCCTTAATCTCCATCACCTGTTTAACCCATACCCCTACCCACCTCCCCTCTGATAGCCATCAGTTTGTTCTCTATCATTAAGGGTCTGTTTCTTGGCTTGCCTCTCTCTCATTTTTCCCTTTGTTCATTTGTTTTGTTTCTTAAATTCCACATGTGAGTGAAATCATATGATATTTGTCTTGCTCTGACTGACTTATTTTGCTTAGCATAATACATCCATGTTGTTGCAAATGGCAAGATTTCATTCTTTTTTATGGTTGAGTAATATTCTATTGTATATATATATATACCACATCAAAATAAAAAGCTTCTGCACAACAAAGGAAACAACCAAACTAAAAGGCAACCTTTGGAATGGGAGAAGATATTTGCAGATGGCATATCTGATGAAGGGTTAGCATCCAAAATATGTAAAGATCTTATAAAACTCAGCACCCCAAAATGAATTATCCCATTAAAAAATGGTTAGAAGTCATGAATAGGCATTTGTCCAAAGAAGACATACAGATGGCCAGCAGACACATAAAAAGATGCTCAACATCACTCATCATCAGGGAAATGCAAATCAAAGCACCATGAGATATCACCTCACACCTGTCAGAATGGCTAAAATCAACAACACAAGAAACGACAAGTATTACTGAGGGTGTGGAGAAAGGAGAATCCTCTTGCACTGTTGGTGGGAATGCAAGCTGGTGTAGCCACTGTGGAAGACAGTATGGAGGTTTCTCAAAAGTTAAAATAAACTCCCCTGTGATCCAGCAATGGCACTACTAGGTATTTATCCAAAGAACACAAAAATATGAATTCAAAGGGTTACATGCACCCTGATGTTTATAGCAGTATGATCTACAACAGCCAAATTATGGAAACAGCTCAAGTGTCCATCAACTGATGAATGGATAAAGATGTCTTTTCAATTTCTTGGTGGTGTTTTTCTTTTCTTTTTTGTTATTTTTACTGTTTTAAAAGGAACATAACATAAAATTTACCATCTTAATCATTTTTTTAAGTGTACAGTTCAGTGGTATTAAAGACATTCACACTGTTGTGTAGACATTACTACTATATATCCCTATAACTCCTTTCATCTTATAAATATGAAATTTTATGCCTATTAAACAGTAACTCCACATTTTCCCTCCCCCCCGTCCCTGGTAACCACCATGTCTCTGAATTTGAAGCACAAATTTTTAAAATTTTGATGAAGTCCAATTTATCTTTTTTTTCTTTTGTTGCTTGTGATTTAGTATCTTATCTAGAAAATGGTTGCCTAATTCAGGCTCATGAAGATTTACTACTATGTTTTCTTATGTCAGTTTTATAACTTTAACCCTTCCATTTAGATTTCTGATACATTTTGAGTTAATTTTTGTATGGTGTGAGTTAGGGGTCCAACTTCATGCAAAAAAATAATGTGGATATACAGTTGTCTCAGCACCATTTGTTGAAGAGACCATCTTTTAACCAACAAACTGTCTTGGCACCCTTATTGAAAATCAATTGACCATAAATGTAGGGAGTTATTTCTGGACTCTCAGTTTGATTCTGTTGATTCATATGTCTATCCCTATGTCAGTAACCTACTGGCTTTATTATTGTAAATTTGTGCTAAGTTTTTTTTTTTTTTAATCATGGTAAAGTACACATAGCGTTTGCCATTTTAACTGTTTTTTTTTTTAAAGATTTATTTATTTATTTGGGGGGGCAAGTGTGTATGCACACGTGAGCAGGGGGGAGGGACAGGAGAGGGAGAGAGACTTAAGCAGAGCTTAAGAGCATGGAGCCCGACACAGGGCTCCATCTCACGGCCCTGAGATCACGACCTGAGCCAAAACTAAGAGTCGGATGCTTAACTGACTGCACCACTCAGGCACCTCTCATCTTAACTATTTTTAAGTGTACAGTTCAATAGTGTTACTCACATTGTTGTGCAAGCAATATCCAGAAATTTTTCATCTTGCAAAACTGAAACCCTATATCCATTAAATAATAACTCCCCATTTCTCTCTTTTCCCAGTTCCTGGCAACCATCATTCTGCTTTCTGCCTGTATAAATTTGACTACTTTTGGTACCTCATATCAGTAGAATCAGACAATATTTGTCTTCTTGTGACTGGCTTATTTCAGTTAGCATAATGTCCTCAAGTTTCATCCATGCTGTAGCAGGTGACAGAATTTCCTTACTTTTCAAGACTGACTAATATTCCATTATATGTATATGCCACATTTTGTTTATTCATTCATCTATCAGTGGACAATTGGGTCGCTTCCATCTTTTGGCTATTGTGAAGAATGCTGCTATGAACACGAAAGTGCAGATAGCTCTTTGAGACCCCACTTTTAGTTCTTTTGGATATGTACCCAGGAATAGAACTGCTGTATCATATAGTATCACTTTTAACTTTTTGAGGTCCACTATATTCTTTTCCATAGGAGCTGCACCATTTTACATTCCCACCAACAGTGCAAAAAGTTTCCAGTTTCTCCACATCCTTGCCAACACTTGTTATTTTCTGTTTCATTGGTAGTGGGCATCCTAATTGGTGAAATGGTACATTATTGTGGTTTTGATTTGCATTTCCCTTATGTTACATGATGTTGAGCATCTTTTTATATGCTTATAAAAAGCATTTGTTTATTTTCTTTGGAAAAAAGTCTATTCAAGTTCTTTGCCTATTTTAAAATTGAGTTGTTTGTGGTTTTCATTGTTATTGTTGTTGTTGTGTTATGGGAGTTCTTTATATATTCTGGATATTAATGCCATATCATATATATGATTTGCAAATATTTTCTCTTACCCCATAGGATCCCTGTTTGCTCTATTGATTGAATCCTTATAATTCCATTTGCTTCTGTAAAGTAGGTGGTGATATTCCCTCTTTCATTCTTAATTTTAGGAATTTGAATCTTTTCTCCTTTATTCTTGGTTAGTCTAGGTAAAGGTTTGTCAATTCTGTTGAACTTTTCAAAGAAGAAATTTTTAGTTTGCTGATTTTCTCTATTGTTTTCCTATACTGTCTATCATTTATCTGTGCTGTAATTTTTGTTCTATCCTTCTGCTCATTTTGGATTTAGTTTGTTCTCTGCCTAGTTTGTGAAGGTGGATGGTTAGGTTACAGATTTGAAATCTTTTTTCTTTTCATGCAGGCATTTTTAGCTATAAATTTCCCTCTAAGCATTTTTGAGGTTGGTAAATATTTATTCAGTTAAACATTAAAAATGAACTCCAAGGGAGGGTCCAGATTCTTTAATTACAGTGAAAATTTTTATTGAATATTAATTAAATGTTGGCTTGAAACTTTTTGTTTATGGAAAGATTTGTCACTGAGATTGAAGCAAGGCAGACTAGCAAGGACCCAGAGCTGAAATTGGGGTCATGACTTGTGATCCCAGCTCTGCCACCAGCCAATTGGGTGATATTATGCAAGTTAATAACCTTTGTTTCTCAATATCTTCATGTGATCATTTAGGAATACATTAGGAATTTTTTTTATACATGGTTATGAGGCTCCCTTGAGGTAATGTGTATAAAACGCTTTTTTCATACTCATGTTTATTTACGTTCATGCTCAATATTGACTAATCACTTATTTTAAAAAACAGTTGCTGTTTTAGTCAAAAAAGTGCATCTTGGGAAGGAAATGGAGAACCCTCTGTTGAGATTTAGTGAAGCGCAAGTTTCTGTTATTGTTCAGTGGGGAAGATTCACTCCGGTTGTTTGTCTGTTTTTTAAGATTTTATTTATTTATTTGTCAGAGAGAGAGAGTGCACACACGAGCAGGCGGAGTGACAGGCAGAGGAGAAGCAGGCTCCCCACTGAGCAAGAAGCCCGATGCAGGACTTGATCCCAGGACCCTGGGGTCATGACCTGAGCCGAAGGCAACTACTTAACCAACTGAGCCACCCAGGCACCCCACTTGGGTTGTTCTATCTCTTTAACTGTAATGTTAAACCTATTGGCCCATCCTTTACTACAATCACCATTAATCAGAAAGCAACCCATGTTCTAACCTAGACAGATGCTATTGTTGTGAACAGTTAAGAGCGGGGGCCCTGGAACCAAACAGCCAGGTTTTGAATCTTGACCTTGCCTCATGATGATGCTGGGACCTTGGGGAAGTTCCTTAGTGTCTCTGTGCCTCAGTTTTCTCACCTGTAAAATGAGTATAGTATCAGCATTTACCACATAGGGTTTTCCTGGGGATTAAATGAGTTAATATAGGTGAAAAGCCTGGTGGATAGTAAGTATGCATTAAATGCTAACTATTACAATTGAAGGTTTAAGCAGAAGCTTTAAGACTGTTATGGAAGGCATTCACTGTTTTTTTTTAATACCCAGAGTAATATCACTTTCTTTTAGGTGACTGTTCCAACCATGTGAGCCTACTAGAGATTACTAATCCCAGACCTTCATCTGGCCTCAGAGATGGCATGTGACCCAGATGGGGCCTATTGCAGTAACTGTTTCCCTGGCCATAGTGATGACCTGAGCTGGATCAGACAGAAAACTTTTTCCGAACTCTAGTTACAGAAGATGGCTTTGCCTCTTGGGTCATGAACTGGAATGATTTGTATCTCCTTTTGGTGCATTTGGGTTGTTATTTACCTTGTTTTTTTTTTTTTTAAGCAGTGCAGAGACACCCTTGTTCATCCTGGACATCTGCAGGATAACAAACTTGCTGGGACAGAATTATAGTTTTCATTTAAATACATTTTCATTTAAATACATCTCACAGGGCGCCTGGGTGGCTCAGTCGTTAAGTGTTTGCCTTCAGCTCAGGTCAGGAACCCCGGGGTCCTGGATTGAGCCCCGCATCGGGCTCCCTGCTCTGCGGGAAGCCTGCTTCTCCCTCTCCCACTCCCCCTGCTTGTGTTCCTGCTCTCGCTGTGTCTCTCTCTCTGTCAAATAAATAAATAAAATCTTAAAAAAAAAAAACAAACCAAAAAACCAAAATAAATAAATACATCTCACATTGGGTATTCTCTTTTATTCTAGGTTTCTGTGCAAGATGAACTAGTTCAAGTGCAGCCAAAGTTTAAAAGTAGTCTTCTTGAGGCTGTGGAAGTCTTTCGTGAGGATGTAATGAACTTTGCAGAATCATATGAGACGGTAATCTAAGTATTTGCATGCTGTGTGTTAAAATGTTCTGTGGCATGTTTATATGAGATGACAGTGATGGATGTTGAGAGATACACTACGATTTGCATATTGTATATAAGAGGCTGTATTTAATATTTGGAGCAATCAGGGAAAAAAAGGGGATAGCTAATCCTTTAAACTTATTTTATAGAGGAAGAAAGAAGATTTAACTGTTAAAAGGAGGTAGAAATTTTGAGATTGTGGAAGGAACAAAAGGTCTGGCCTTATGCTTTCTTTCTCAGGCCAGAATGCTCATAGTTGAAAATGTGATATAGTTGTTGGAAGGCTATAAGAAACTATACAAACCTAAATACCAGGGTATTATGCAACTGATCTTTTTTTCACTAACTCTTAGAAAACCAAAAGGGTCACTGAAAATAAATAATAAATGTCACACCTGGTCAGTCCCGCAGACTATTCAGCCTGGTAACATGACTGATAATGATCCTCCTCTTTGAAGTTAAACTCAGAAGTTGGATATATTCCCCTAACATATGCTACTTTCTCTTAGTCGTCACAGTGGGTCTGGATTCATAAGACATGTTAAGCCCTTAATAATAATAATCATATAACACACTTTTTTTTACATGTACTAAACTTACCTCTTTTAGTTGGATTTGTCAACGTTTTATGGCCCTATCATTCCATTATACTGGGAATCTGGTCTATTATTTAGCATATCCATAATATTCAGGATTGTACAGACCATCTGGGGTCCTTTTTGCAACTGTTCTGGATGATAGCCACCAGAGACTGCATTTTGCTTCATCCAAGTATTCAACTTTGTGCTCCTCTGTTTCCATATTAGGCTGAACAAACAGTGAAAGGAGGCTGTTTTCAGAACTCTATCGCAGTTATTCTAATACACAAACACAGCATCATTGTTTATAATCATACGTGAAATGAAACAGAGCTCTAGTGATACAGGCTTCCTACAGGATGTAATTTTGGCACATTTTTTATTAACAATGTCATGGTCCTTTAAAAATGAATGGAAGCTGGAGTGAGGCAAATGTTCTAAAATTGATTGTGGTCATGGTTACACAACTCTGTGAATATACTAAAAGCCATTAAACTGTCCATTTTAAATGGGAGATTGTATAATATGTGAATTATATCTCAATAAAGCTGTTACAGAAACTAAATGAAAGCTTCATATGTGGGACAAAATTAGATCATTTCAATTTAAAATAATGTTTACTTATTTAAAAGGAAATAATAAACTCAATAAATTGATAAATACATGTGATTAAGAATTTAAATGGAGACTATATTATTAATTACAGGAAGGACCCATGGTTCCAAATATTCCACCCCAAGAAGCTAGTAACAGGCTACAGATATTTCAGGTAAAACTTGTCGACAATGTGTTGTTATTCTTTAAAGTAATTTTAGGGAAAAATTTATGTGGTCTACCTTACAGTGGAAAAGTTAGTGTTTAAAGTGCATACAGATTTTAATTGTATTCTAATCTGCTAAATAATATGATTGATTCCTTTTCTTGTATCCCTTTGTGTTCTTCTCCACAGAATGTCTCCCTGTATTTTTAGAGAATAAGACTTTGATTTTGAACTTAAGTGTATACCTTATTTTGGTTCCAAGCATCTCATTTATATATAAATGGTAAAAATTCATGGAATAACAAGATGTATCAAAATAAGATTTAAAATATTGACAGATGGTTTCCCTATCTTTCCTCTGTATCCATTCCTTTTCTATCCATGATTTTAAACTTCCCAGCTCATTTTCCTTACCCTGGACTATCAGTACTCATTGGATTCACCATCTTTTTCTGTGCTCAGATTGCTGAGCACATCTAGAGAAAAATCACATGCCCATTTGGGTTAATGTTTTGCAGGTCTGTGGATTCCTATGTAAGCTAGCCCCTAGGAGGATCAGGCAATTCTATTATTTGTTTCAGTTCTCTATCCTGTTTTCTGTAGTGGCTGTACTATATGTTCATGTTCTTTTTATGTTCCCTATCACACGTGCCTTTGTAGTCATTAAAAAATATCAGATGCCTACTGTGTGTCTTGGTCAATAGAAAAATGATTAAGGAAACGTTCTTACCTCTAAACTGCTAAAATCTGGTAGGGAGACAGAGAGCTGGATAGATAGTAGTTGCAAAACTGCGTGGTGAGCACTGTGACCTAGGTGTGAGAACTAGTGTTATGGAGACAGATGTAGGGAGTTACCAACCAAAATAGGAGCTGAGGGGGCAGCCAGAGAAGGCTTCCTGGAAGAGGAGCCATCTAAGCTGCATCTTGAAGGACTATTTAGAGTTAGCCAGGGGAAGAAGGAAGAAAAACAGGTTAGACAGAATTTGCACCTCCTACAAAGGCCCAGAAATGAGGAGATAAGCAGGGAGAGTTAGGGAGATGAAGGAGTGAAATACGGGGTACAGTGGGCTGAGAGGATAGAGATGACGGGTGGGACGGCTAAGAGGGCAGGAATCGCTAACGAGAGGGCCTTGTAGGCTCTGATAAGGAGCTCATAGCCTGTCCTGGGGCTGGAGGGCTCTAAGCAAGGAATGATATGTTCAGATTTGAATTTTTAAAATAGCTGTATGTTGAAAAGACTTCTCTGGCATTAGTGTGGAGAATGCTTTGGAGGGAGGATGGTCAGACTGATGGCAGTTTCAGTCATGCAAGCAAGAAATTGTAAAAATTGAGACCAACCAAATGCACTTGCAATGAAGAAAGCTGGATGGATCATGAGTTTATTAACAAGACCAACTTGATAGACTGAGGGGAAGAGAGGGAGGCTTCCAGCTTGGGGAAAACAGAAGAAAGTTGAGTCATTTACTGAAGTACAAGTGTGGGAGGAGTAGTTTTGAGATTAGTTTGAACAAATGACCTTGTCTCCAAATTTACAGAGATGATTTAGGGTGTGTGATGGACATTTCAGAGAGATGTGCTCCCCTTCCCGTCCCTGGGGCCTCTTGACTCTCCCCTGTCCCTTCTAGGACTGACCCTTTTCTCTACTTTAGTCTTAACCTCTTCCTCTTCACTAAATCTTCCCACTCAACATTTTAAAAGCTGTGTGTCTTTCCTTTTTAAAGTAACAATAAGAAACATAACTCTCTGTCCTGAGCCCCCTTCTAGATGTCACTTTTTTCTTCACCTGGCCCCAGTTTCTGCCTGCCTTTATACTCAGATAGCTTCCATGGTCGAGCCACCAGGAGATACAGAGATGTTGTCCAAAACCCAGTGTTTTCTTCTTTACTAGGAATACCATGTTTTGCAGCAAATCAAGCCATACGAAGGCTTTCTCTAGCTCATAACTTAGTTTTGCCACACGCTGGATGGTTATTTCTAAATATCCCTTTATCTATGTCAGAGATGAGTTCCTACGACTTTACCATTGGGTTTTTCACATCAAAGCGAATAAACAGAAGAGTGGAGTCAGTAATCTTGTCCTTGTTGCTTTATGTGCACATTCCATAGATGGTTCAGGCTGGTTCCACGCATGCTTTTCTCAAAAAGGTTCAATCAAGTTGAATGGGATCTCTCCAGTTTCAGGTTCTCCTGAGAGGGGTAGTTCAGCTTTTTCCATCAGAACCAAGTGGAATTTCTCATATGGTATCTAACTTTCAAGTATCTCCCTTGATCTCTGAGTGATTTAAATAGAAAATCCAGACCAAACGGCACCTGGGTGGCTCAGTCGGTTAAGTGTCTGCCTTCGGCTCAGGTCATGATCCAGACTCCTAGGATCGAGCCCCATATCAGGCTCCCCGCTCAGAGGAGAGTCTGCTTCTCCCTCCCCCTCCCCCCCGGCTCGTGCTCTTTCTCTATCTCACTTTCTCAAATAAGTAAAATCTCGCTGGACTCTGGAGGAGGCTCCGAGCCTTTGCCCTCTGAAGTCCCCAGAGTCCCAGGGAAAGGCCTGCTTCTCTGGAGGAGCCAAGACCAAGACTGATCTGCTCACCAGGTGGCTGCCAGCTGAGCCAAGCAGAACCCCTCAGCAATAAAAACAAGATGAAGAGTGAAACTAGATAGTAATGTTGGGTGGTGATAAGTGCCAAGGGAAAAAAATAAAGCAGAGAAAGGGCATAACACGCTGGGTTCTGTGTATGTAAAGTGGAAGTGAACTTTAAAATCTCATCTCCAGAGAGGGCCACCTTGAAAAGCTGACATTGGAATAGAGACCTAGAGAAATGAAGGAACGAGCCAGGCAGGTGTCTGGAATAGCAGCTTTCCAGGCAGGAGGAAGAACAAGTGCAAAGGCTCTGAGTGAGAGCAAATATGACATCATCTTACTTAACGTTTTCAGTGGATTGCCCTGTTGAGAGTAGATTACTGACCGTCAAGGGTGGAAGCAGAGAGAGTAATTAGGAGGTTATTGCAATAATCCAAGGGAGGGTGACAGTAATTTGGACCAGACTGGTGGCGGCATTGGAGTTGATGAGAAGTGGTTGGAGCCTGGATATATTTTGAAGGTAGACCCACCTCCTTGTCTTTCCCTCAGGAGTTACCAATTTATTGGTCAGTGACTGGGACTTTAATGTGCTACCCTTTAACTGGGAGTGTGGCCACTTCATTGAAAAGACCTTGTAGGGCCCATCTCTTGCCATCTGGCAACTTTTGTTCTGCCTATGCTTGGGGGTACGCGCTAAGCAGGCTGTTCTCCAAGCATCTGGCTGGGTATGTGACCCAACTCTCCTCAAAAGCAGGTGCCCCCTCACGTTCCCAACCCCCCAGAAAAGCAGATGCCAAGATCTAGATCACGGAAAGAAGCAGGAACTTCACATTGGGCCTCAGGGTGCAGTGGTGTTCTCTGATGCAACTTTACTCTGATTTCTGGAGTTACTGGGCACTGGGTTGGCTAATATAATAGCTGGTATTTTGTTCCCCATTTGGCTGGTGCCATGGGTCTTTTTATATTATCTGGGGCCTGAATGGAAAAGGGGGTGAGTGACTGGCATCCATCAATAGTCTTCATCACATAAACAAGATTTTAAATGTCACTATTTTAAAGTATGCTAACTTTAACGTTTTTGTTTCTCCTTTTCTAGTGTTCACATGGTTCCATGGCCATTTTAGTCAGTAACTTTATTTTGCTTATTTATTTATTTATTTATTTATTTATTTATATTTATTTTTTATTATGTTATGTTAGTCACCATACACAGTAACCACTATACTAACCACCAAGGAATATAAAAAGTGCAAAATATGGCCTTTAGTTTCTAGGAAGGATGAATTCTTTGGCTTTTCTCTGGGGTCTTCACACCTTCCTGATTTGGCTCCTCTAAAATATGCTAACGTTAGCTGTCAGATCTGATTCACTATCTGAATATGGCGAGGTCTGATGCCAGACATTCTCTAGGGCTGGAAATTTAGGATCCTTATTGATAGGTTATACCCTTATTTTGAGCCACACACACCTTGTCACAGGTGGATTATTTCTATTTGCTTTTGTGCTTTAAACATGCTCCATACTTAGCATTCTAAGTATAGGAGATTCTACCTCCAATTCAAAGGGCATGGGCCTTAACTTCCCTGACTCAGATTGTTAAAATTCTCTCAAATGGTGTTAAAATGGAAGCCTTCATTTTATAGACTCTTTATTGCTTGGAGGGAAAACAAGGTTGAAAAGATTATACTCACTCTTTTGAACTCTGTAGAAGAGATGACAAGTCTAAATTAGTGAAAAAGCCTGAATTATAGATTTTTTTAAAATGCAGTTTTATTACTTTCAGACATATTTATGGGAACTTGAAGTATAGGTCTTCTGGGGACCACGTAATTTATTAAAGAAAAATTTTTATGTAAAATGGATGCTTTTAGAGTGCTTGAAAGTTAATTTTCCTAAGTGCTCAACTTTTCTTCTGATACCTTGGTATCACTATAAATTTCTTCACAAATCTTTGTTTCATAGATATTATTAAATAAACCTCAATGTAGCTTTTATTCCAATTATAATAAATTCTACTTTAATGGGGCCTGAATTAATTATGTTTTACTACAACTTAAATATCTTTTTATAGGCCAATTTTGATGATCTGTGGAGGAAGTTTGTTACATATTCATCCGGTGAACAACTTTTTGGATTGCCTGTGACTGATTATGAGGTTTTACACAAAACTAGGTAAGTGTAGAAATTGGGCAAGTGTTACATGCAAATAATGAAATACTGTCCATTAGAAGAATCATGTCATCATTAAATCCTTTATCATGCAGAGAAGAGCCTCCCTTAGAACACTCCTAAATATTTCCCTTATTCCTGGCTATTGCTGACCCACTGGATCCATAGTCATCACATATAAAAGAAATATTCTTGGGGAATGGAAAGTACATTGCAAAAATTCTAGTGTTTGTGACCTATATTTAGCCTGTGCTTTCTTTTGTTCTCTTCACTATTTTTGAATAGTGTCCATTATTGTGCAGAGGCGCTGCAATTTTGGATATATTTTTTATTTAGAGGATTACCCATCCTTGGCTTTCCAACCCTTCTTACTACCTTTATGCTAAGTGCTCTTCCCTATTGGGTAGACGTAGAAATTCATCAGGATTGAAGGCCAAGGAACTTCGCTGATTTTAAACAATAAGTAGATCTAGGATTTAAGTAACTATATTTTAACAGAATTTTATATAACTTTCCTCAAGGTCAGAATTAAAACTGGTTTTGCTTATTGGGATCATGGCTTTAAAAAAGAACTTTATCTTGACTTCTTTCAAAGTCATAACACGTCTTTTCAAAATAAACAAGAAATTATCTGACCATAAATCAATGCTAATAATGAAATAATTTCTAAGATGATGAATCAGCAAAATGAAGCAAGAATTGGAAAAACAAGATAACCAAGATTCTAGAACGTGTTTTAGATTTATAAAAGGTCCCAGTGTACCCTTATGATAATTGCAAGATAGAATGAGTTTTACTATATTAAAAACATAAGCAAATCTTATCTTTGGTCTTTGGATTATTTATAATAAATAATAAAAGTTGTGAATATCAATCCTTACAAATAGTTAAAACCACTCATGAAATAACCTCAAAAACTAAAATTGGGTCTAGGGGGCACTCATGGTCTGCTAAGGATTGAGGAATTCTTGGGAGCATCCACAAACTCGGTTGAGTGGTCAATTTTTGATGTTTTACACAATAAAGGACTTTTTCTTTACTTGGATCTATAATCCCTTCTCTTATTCTTGTTACGTATATAATTCGTACATGAGGGAAAGCTTTTGGTAGGAAAGTGATGTTTAAGTCACTTTCCTAAAGGCAGATGTTCTCATAAAAAACCAGCTTGCATTTAAAAAAAAAAACAATCAAAACCTTAGCCTTAGCTTTGATCTTATTATCATGTTCTGGTCACATTGTTTGCAATGATTGGAACCATAATAATAAACCATTTGTTAATGTCAAGTCATAGTATGGCATGGAATATTTGAGAGCTATAAACTTGACCTAATTGATAGAGCTTTAATAAAATTTTTGTTTGGAAACTGACAGGGTTGTTTGCATGTTGGTGTCTATAAGACATTACACACGTCATGTATGAAATATTTGATTGGATGAATTCTGCCTATCCAATAATGACATTTATTTTTAAGATACACATTATGTAATGACTTTATTTGGTTTCCCAGAAAAGAGCTCAACTTGCTGCAGAAGCTGTATGGACTATATGATACTGTAATGAACAATATTAGTGGTTATTATGAAATACTTTGGGGAGATGTAGACATTGAAAAAATTAATGCAGAACTGCAGGAATTTCAAAACAGGTGAGTTTGAAATGAATTAAGCTTACCTTTTAATAGTGCCTGTCTTCATAGGAGCTGTAGGTATTTTAAAAACGAATTTATCCTCTGATATATTGCTGTATATACATAATGCTTCAAAGAAATGGATAGTGATATAGTTTTGTTTTGTTTTTATTCTGAAAGATGTCGTAAACTCCCAAAAGGGCTTAAAGATTGGCAAGCTTTTTTGGATCTGAAAAAAAGAATTGATGATTTCAGTGAGTCCTGTCCTCTGCTGGAAATGATGACCAATAAGGCAATGAAACAGAGACACTGGGACAGAATCTCTGAGTTAACTGGAACCCCATTTGATGTGGAATCTGATTCTTTTTGTCTTAGAAATATTATGGAAGCACCACTACTTAAACATAAGGATGACATTGAGGTACATAAGCTTATAAGATCTTATCACTGGTTCATTGAAGAACATCCTTTTACTTTTCTGGAAATTATACAAATGGACATTTTATTTAAGAATGTACTAATTGCCCTATATAATGTACCTTCAAAATTTGGAATGATCCTGAACATCCTTTGGTTTTGCAAAATAATATAGTAACTCAAGGAGATAAGATGATTATTTGAAATATGTTAGTTTGGGAGGTCCTCAATCTATCCTCCTCGTCCCTTAACTAGCTCTCATTTTAAAAAAATCTGTTTATTTCTGTATTGCACTCCTGGTGAATTCCTCAGAACATTTTCCAAATTTCTCATTCTATCCTTTTTCTTATTAGTCTACTACATATTTAAAATTATTCTTCCTTTCCAAGATTTTTAATTGGTTCTTTTTCTTTTTGTGTGTGTGCTTACTATTTGCATGGTATCTCTTTTTTTATTATTGAGATATAATTTTTATAATTATATACTTTTCATTACTGGGATATAAACATATTTATGTTTGCAGTGTTATGACTCAATACATTTATGTATTACAAAATGATCATCACAATATGTCTAGTTAACATCCATCACCACACAAAGTTAATTTTTTTTTCTTGCGATGGGAACTTTTATCTTAACAACTTCCAAATATACAATACAGTACTATTAACTATAGTCATCATGTTGTACATTACATCCCAGGACTTATTTATGTTATAACTGGACGTCTGTACCTTTTGACCCCCTTTACCCATTTCATTCACCCTGCAACCCCCTGACTTTTGGCAACCACCAGTCTATTCTCAGTATGTATGTTCTTTCTGGTTTCTTTCTTTTTGAATTGGTGTTTTCATTTTCTTTGAATAAATACCTAGAAGTAGTATTGCTGGATTATATGTAGCTTTATTTTTTTTCTAAAGGTTTTATTCATTTATTAGAGAGAGAGAGAAAACATTAGTGGGGGGAGGGGCAGAGGGAGAGGGACAAGCCGACTCCCCATGGAGTGGGGAGCCCAGTGTGGGGCTTGATCCCAGGACCCTGAGATCATGACCTGAACCAAAGTCAGATGCTTAACTGACTGTGCCACTCACGTGCCCCTGTAGCTCTATTTTTAATTTTTTTGTGGAACCTCCATACTGTTTTCTATAGTGGCTGCACCAATTTACATTCCCACCGACAACGTGCAGGGTTCCTTTTTCTCCACATCCTCCCCAACACTTGTTATTTCTTGCCTTTGTGATGATAGCCATTCTAACAGGTGTGAGGTGGTATTTCACTGTGGTTTTGATTTGCCTTTCCTTGAAGATTAGTGGTGTTGAGCACCTTTTCATATACCGTTTGGCCATTTGCATGTCTTCTCTGGAAAAACGCCTATTCCAATCCTCTGCCCATTTATTAATTGGATTGTTTGGGTTTTTTTCCTATTGAGTTATGTGAGTTCTTTATATATTTTAGATATTACCCCCTTATCGGATTTGTGATTTGCAAATATTTTATCTTGTTTGTCAGTTGCCTTTTCATTTTGTTGATGGTTTTCTTTGCTATGCAGAAGCATTTTAGTTTGATGTTGTCCCACTTGTGTATTTTTGCTTTTGTTTCCTTGGCTTTGTTACCAAATCCAAAAATCATTGCTAAGAACAATGTCCAGGAGCTTATCACCTGTGTTTTCTCCTAGGAGTTTTATGGTTTCAGGTTTTACATTCAAATCTTTAATTCATTTTGAGTTAATTTTTGTGTGTGGTGTAAGGTAGTGGTCCATTTTCATTCTTCTGCATGTGGCTGTCCAGTTTTCCCAACACAATTTATTAAAGAGACTGCTCTTTCTCCATTGTATATTCCTGGCTCCTTTGTCATAAATTAATTGACCATAAATGTGTGGGTTTATTGCTGGGCTCTCTATTCTGTTCATCTCTATGTCTGTTTTTATGCCAAATATACTATACTGTTTTGATCACTATAGCTTTGTTATATAGTTTGAAATCAGGAAGCATTATGCCTCCAAGTTTGTTTTTCTTTCTCAAGATTCCTTTGGCTATTTGGGGTCTTTTGTGGTTCCATACAAATTTTAGGATTATTTCTTCTATTTCTATAAAAAATGACTTTAGAATTTTGATAGGGATTGCATTTAATTTGTAGTTAGCTTTGGATTGTGTGGACAGTTAAACAATGTTCATTCTTCCAATCCATGAGCATGGGATATTTTTCCATTAATTCGTGTCTTCAGTTTTTTTCATCAATGTCTTATAGTTTTCAGTGTACAGGTCTTAAACTTTCTTGTTAAATTTACTCCTAGGTATTTTATCCTTTTTGATGTAATTGTAAATGGAATTGTTTTCTTAATTTCTCTTTAGGATAGTTCATTATTAGTGTATAGAAATGCAATTGATTTTTGCATATTGATTTTGTTTTATGCAATTAATTCATTTATTAGTTCTGTTTTTGGTGGGCATCTTTAGGGTTTTCTATATATAATATCAGGTCACCTGCAAATAATGGCAGTTTTACCTTACTTCTTTCTTCCTGATTCAGATGCTTTTCATTTCTTTTCATTTCTAATTGCTATGGCTAGGATTTTCAATACTAAGTGGAATAAAATTGGTGAGAGTAGGCATCCTTTTCTTCCTCCTGACCTAAAAGCATTGAGTGTGATGTTAGCTGTGGATTTGTCATATATGGTCTTTATTATGTTGAGGTATGTTCTCTCTCTGTACCTTTGTTGAGAGGTTATATCGTTTATAGATATTGAATTTTGTATGCTTTTCTGCATCAATTGAGATGATCATGTGATTTTTATCCTTTTTTGTGTTAATGTGGTATATCACATTGATTGGTCTGTGGATGCTGAAACCATCCTTGTATCCCTGGAAGTTCCAATAAATTCCAAGGTTATTGTGTGTGATCCTTTTACTGTATTGTTGAATTCAGTTTGCTAGTATTTTATTGAGGATTGTTGTATCTGTGTTCATCAGGGATATTGGCCTGTAGTTCTCTTTTCTCATGGTGTCTTTGTCTGGTGCTGGCCTCATAAAATGAATTTGGAGTGTTCCCTCCTCTTCTGTCTTTCGGAAGAGTTTGAGAAGATTGGTATCAATTCTTCTTTAAATGTTTGATAGAATTCACCAGTGAAGCTATCTGGTCCTGGACTTTTGTTTGTTGGGATTTTTTTTTGATTACGGATTCAATCTCCTTACTAGTAATCAGTCTGTTCAGATTTTCTATTTCTTCATAATTCAATCTTGGTAGGTGGTATGTTTCTAGGGAGTTACCCATTTCTTCTAGGTTGTCCGATTCTTGTGCCTGTAAT